TAATAAGTCACGTTACAATATTCATTATTTAAAGAAAAGATATTTTCCCTTGACACGTTCGCTGCCACCGGAAAATCGATAGCACGCTGGGTAATGCATTCTGAAACGCATACGGTGCGTCGGTGGCAGCGACCGTGTCGAAGAAGAAAACGATGTTAATAAGTCATTGAAATATTCGATTGTTAAAAAAAACTTTTTTCCTTGACACGTTCGCTGCCACCGGAAAATCGATAGCACGCTAAGCAATGCATTTTGAAACGCATATGGTGCGTCGGTGGCAGCGACCGTGTCGAAGAAGAAAACGATGTTAATAAGTCATTGAAATATTCGATTGTTAAAAAAAACTTTTTTCCTTGACACGTTCGCTGCTACCGGAAAATCTATAGCACGCTAGGCAATACATTGTGTGACGCATATGGTGCGTCGGTGGCAGCGACCGTGTCGAAGAAAAAATTGTTCCACTTCTTTGGAAAAGAGGGAGAAACGAGCAATTTGTATAAAAATATTCATAGTACAAATGCAAGAATAATGCACCGAGGATGTATAATTTTTTCGAAATGGAGATCCTTCGTTGCTATAATCACTGTTCGATTGGACGAGAATAAAAAAAATCCGACGAGCGTGAATTTCCATTGCGAGGGATTTTGTTATGTTCGAAAGGTGAGAAGGAAATGGCGGCGAAAATGACGCGGGGTTATTAAAATTATAACTTATATCTCGCGGCGATATTACGGTACGGTGCGTAACGCATTCATCTCGTAAGACTAATAAGCTAATTATAACGCTGTCAAACACGTGCTTTCTCGTGCATCCCATCCCGTTAACTTCCAAGGAAAGCATCGAACCGGACTTGAAACGTGGGAGAAGAGGCGCAAGCCGGGGAGATCTTCTGGGATATCTTCGATAAATATCGGTTAATACGGTGTCGCGCTTCGTTCTTCGTAAGATTCGATTAGGAAAAAAAAAAGAGGAGAAAAAAATGGAAGATGGAAGGAAAAAAGGGGTTGAACGAGAGAAAAGGGACGAGAGACCCTTCTCACGAAACTCGTTAAAATCGTTATCAAATGTAAACGCAAAAATTATCGCGGAAACAGGTGTGCGATAAGTAATCGATGATACATAACTGGTTCAAAATATATTCAGAAAATATTATTTCAGTTATTGAAGATAGGGATGTCGCGACGAGAGTGGCGTACGATTTGACGTTTCGATATGTCGGTAGCGCAAAATATCATTTCCACGATGATCATTGCGGGTAATCAAGGTGAAAGTACGTTGGGAGGAATTTATGTGTAATTTCGTTTCGGTATCTCTCGATGGCTCAAAATTGCGCTCAAAATTAGCATCTTACAGCGACATATGTCTCAATAGTGTGGTACTAAATGTTCCTCGTAACGAATTCACAAGATAATTTCTACCTATGAGCGTCATTTCGAAGGCTCAAAATTATGCTCAAATTATTCACCCAGTTAATAAATGCAAACGTGAAAAGATAAGAATTTCGTAATTTCATCGTACAATATTCTACTTGACTAGCTCAAAATATCTCGAAACAACCAACGACTCAAACTTTTGCTCAAAATTCATGTTACTCCCAAACCAATCGTCGTCTACACTTAAGTCATTTCTTCGCACAATATTCTACCTTGCAAGCTCAAAATATCCCCTCAAAATATCATCTCAAAACAGTTAAGGACTGAAACTTTTGCTGAAAACGCGTCAACCCCAAATATTCATCCTACTCCCGAACGAATCGTCGACTAGATCTAAAAGAATTGCTCAAAAGGAACATGATGGTGAAAAGAAGAGCCATCCTAGGGAATAATTGGTCGTAGCTGGCTCATCGTGCGTCGCGATGGGGCCTCGAAGGTGGAGAGAGCGTTACGCGGGTCGGGGACAGGACAAAGAGAGAATTTCTTTGCTTGGACGATTAATTACGCCCTCATTCCCGCCCCAAGTGCGGCTCTCTTGACGATGCATCGTCGATATTGACATTTGCCTTGCTTCCCTTACTATTCCCTGTCCCTTGCCCCCTCGCCCCTCTGTTCACCGCCACTTTCACCCTTTTTCCTCTATCCCTCTCTGTCCCTCTAACGATATCGTCCGCGATTTCATCCGCACGCGATCGTTCGCGCTTCCAGCGCCTCGTAGAACGAACGAACGCATGTACGAACAAGTAAATTCAGGCTTGTGTGTGTGTGTGTGTGTGTGAATGTGCGTGCACGCACCCTATACACCCATTCCATCTATACGTACACATGAATACACACTTGTATACCTGGCAGCGTTGTGTCCCCCTTTGCCCGCTGCGTTCTCCTGTTTACCGAGAAACCGCGATATTTACGCGAGAGGGGCTGCGAAGGTGCAACGAGCTGCGGAAAAGCGAGCGAGCTGTGTGCGGAGAAAGAGGAAAAACGCTCTGCGAGCGAAGAAAGCGGCGACGAATCGAAGGGAGAGCCAGAGCTTAACCAGAGAGAGCGTACGACCGAGAGATAGAGAGAGAGATTGTCGATGGAGGGTTCGAGGAAAGAAGAAAGGGTGAGAGAGAAAGAGAGAGAGAGGAATAGGGTGAAAAGTAGAGAGATAGCGTGTGTGTGGTAGGAAAAAAAAGAGAAAGAAAGAGAGATGGAGGGAGAGAGATATGGAATTAAGGGGACACACCCCTATCTTTCGAGCGTACGCTTATCGAATGCACCGACAGTTACGCTTTTCCTCGTCGTTCAGCTTCACCAAGACGGTTCTGTGATGCGAGGCAGCCAGGTAGGTTGGTAGGTAAGCTAGGTAGGTTGGTGGGAATGCGTGTACAAGGGAATTAGACCATAATCGTCCACGCGTGTGCCGCGCGCGCGAAGGGGACGTTTTCCGCCTGCCTCGGACCTCGATGTTCATTCGCGCGGCGGGGATACGCTCTCCACGAGTCTGCTGCACCTTACGCGATGCCCGCTACCACCTATTCCTCTCTTTGGCTCTCCCTGGTCTGTCATTCTCTCTCTCCTTTCTCTCTTTTTCTCTCTGGTCCTTTCTTTCCTTCCTCTTAATTCTGAATCTTTATCTGTCCTCCTTTTTGTTTAAATCTCTCTCTCTCTCTCTCTTTGGCTCTCTTTCTGCCTTGCACTCTTTCTTTGGCTCTCCTTCTGCCTTTCACTCTCTTTCTGTCTCTGATTTTCTCCCTTTCTGCTTCTCCCTTCCTTTTTAGCTCTCTTTTTCTCTCCATCTCTGTCTCTTTGACCACGCATATTCTGCACACCTACTTTTCTTCGGCTTCTCTCCTTCGTCCCTTCGCGAGCCTTGCCTGCGGACTGTCCGTGCACAGAAAAGAAAGTTTCAGCGATTCTGATCGAGATACATACTTACAACGTACGAGACGAGTGGCTTACCTGCAAAGATCCACTCAGATTTTATGTAACAAACAGTGCGCTAAGGATTTTTCATCGTTTTCTGTTCGTTCGCCTCTTCGAATCTTTTATTCGACGCTTCTCTGGAATTCCTTATGAATTTTTTCTTCAATCGCCAATTTTAAGAAAATTATAAAAATGGAAGGAGCGAATTTTAAAATTGAAGTTTAATAGATCTTACCTAATTGAAATTACCTGATAAATAATTCTATCGCTTTCTAGTATTAAAAAGTGAATTTTAATAAATCGTATTTTTGAAATTGCAACGTATACAATGTCAAGTAAATTTGAAAGACGATCTTCCCGCGACGCGTCGCTAGAAAAATCTCGACAGCTCCAGCAGCTCTACAGCAAGCGCCACCTACTCCGTTGTGAACGTAGCCATGCTTCCTTCTGGTTGGTAACGTAGATCTCTGCACTGAGCGACCGTCGACAAGGATCAATGATTCAGTTTGATTAAAAAGAAAGAAAGGACACACTTCTTCTCCCTTACTTTTGTATAATATTCCTCTATTCAAACTTGTTTAAATCTCGTTTCTTTACAACTGCGTAACGTTATTGTGCATATTAAATAAAACTTTATCTTTCATCTTACCGATAGTGGAAACTGCTCACTTTTCCTCAGACAGAAAGCGGAAATTGAAGAAACGTGTACCTTCCGAGGTCCAACATCTGTTATCTCTCAACTCGTCTTTCTCAACCCGTTACGGGATAAAAAAAATTCTCCAAAAAATTGTCAACAACTACTTTCATTGATAGAATTAATCGTCAAATTAATCCTTAATTAAAATACTAGTAATGACACCTTTAAAAAATTCTTCGATACTCTGTAATCAGTCTAATCACCTGCTACAAAAATTTTGCTCTAAATTTCTGATAAGCGAATTTTCACCGAAACACTTTCACTACCAGCAATTATCAAACTAATCTCTATAATTAATACCAATAATTCGACACTCCAAAAAGTCAGTACAATTATCGAGAAAATTTTACTCTACTTTTTCGATACCCATTTTTCACCGAAAAAACAATCAGCAATCATCAGACTAATCCTAACAATCAATCCCCCGCTACTAATACCAAAAATTACACCGTCGAAAAAAATCTTCAACATTGCAAAAAATCGGGATACACAATTATCGAGTAAATTTCACCGGAAATTCGTGGTACACGTTAAACGGGTGAATTTTCACCGTGGTTGAGCCGCGGTGCAATTTCCCCGTTCCAATTAGCCCCGGCCAGAGGCCTCGTTAATATCCCGCCGTCTATGGAGCCCGCGGGCGGCCATCACCATCTTTCGCCCGGGAATCATCTAAAACGTTTTGTCGTCGGGAATCTAATCTAATACCGGTGGCCCTGGAAGGTTATACTTTTATTGGCGCGTCTATTGGGCTTAACGAGGTCAATTGAGGTGATACGGTTGCCTTGATTTTACGATAGTACATCGTCGGGCACGATAACGATCCGAAAGATCCTCCGCGATATGAAAAATCATGGCGAAATCGTGCATGTAGGTGTGTACGATTCAGAAGAGATAGCTTCGTTGCTTCGTCCTTTCTTTTTCTTTTCTTGCTTTTAATCGAGTCTCCCTCGATTGTGTTTCAGCACCTGTACCATCTGCAAACGGGCGAGAGCGCGTTCAGAGAGAGGGGAAGGGGACGAGGCAAAGGTGCAACCAGGGTAAGTAGCCATTTTGGTGCATTTGAATTTCGCTTGAAAATACGAGTAGGAATTTTATTTCTGAATATTTGTGAAAAAATATTGCGTTTTAATTCTGGAAACGGAGACTTGTTTCTCTTTTGTTTCTCTGCGTGAGAAATTTAGCACAAATTTACTTGGAAATCGGAGGAAATTTGTTTCTAGGTATTCGAAAAAATTAATTCGATCGATTTTCTTTTTAATTCGCGGAGTTGAGACTTGGTGTTCTTTTCTTCTTTTTCTACGCGGAGAAATTGTTACAAATTTACTTGAAACCCGGAGGAAATTTGTTTTTCAACGTGTGGAGAAGAAACGAGTTTTTAATCGATAAGATGGAGATTTGCTTTTACTTCGGCAAGTGTAGATCGAATTGTAAAGTTTGTTCGATACCTGAACGTTGCTGTACCAGCGGGAAATTCGTAAACGCGTCGCATTTCGCTAAGAAGGTATCCACCGGAAGTGAAACTTGTATTAACCAGAGAGGAACATTCTTGGAGGCGAAAAAAGACGAAATTGCTAAAAAACCGCGTCTCTTTGACCCAGTTCTTCGTCCCAGCGTTGAACGTTTTAATTAGGTCGCTTAAAAGAATCTTCCTTATTTTCCAGACTACTCTTCAGATTAATATAATACACTCCGTATTTAACCAGAAATCAATAAGAAAATAGTGATTCTTACTGAAATATCATAAACCTTTTTATTTTTCAATTTTCATTTTCACCATCTCCATTGCCTCGTCGAAATCTTTTGGAAACCGTAATACCATCGATATTGTCCTCGGATATTTCCGCGCCATTTCCCCGAGTAATTAGGAAAAAGAAGAAGAAGAAAATGATCCGGAAACACGAGTAACACGACGTGTCTTCCCACCTCTTCCATCGCGTTCTCCCCTTGCCTTGCGAGGGAGACCGCGAAAAGTGGACCGTGAAACCCGTGAATTCGAGCGAGTGACGTTGCTCCGCCTCCCTGTTATTGCGTTTCCGAAAGGTGAACGTTTAAAAAGATGGAGAGAGCGTGGCAGCCGGCAGTCGGAGGGAACGAACGAAAATAGGACGATAAAAGGCGACGAGCCTCGCAATTGGATGGTTTATTCTTTTCCGCGGCTCGTAATCCGCCTTTCCTGCCTTTTCCGCGCCAGATTTCAAAGGGAAGGAGCACCGGCTGATACGCATTTACACCCGCGTTCATCGTGCTTCTCGTTTCCGGTTCCAGCGTCAATTTCTTCTTCTTTCCTTTCATTTTCTCCCTCTGTTTCGCTTTTTGGTTTCTTTCTTTTTCTTCCTACTCGTCGTTTCCCTTCTGTTTCTTTCAGCGTACGTACTACTCTCTTTCGAGCACGCTCGGCTCGCCACTTATCCGTCACGTTTCTAATTCTAGAAACGCGGTAACGCACGAGTAAACGGCCTTCTGTTCCTCGACACTCGAAAATCTCCGATGATCATTTCGAATTGGCTCTGCCTCTTCGTCGTGCTGGTGTTCAAGTGAATTTGATGGAGAGCGTGAGAGGCAAGGGTACAACTGTGTCTACAGCTTTGAATTTGCTCTTTCTTAAGATCTCATTTTGAAAATTAGAAAATTGGAGAAGTTGCAGTATGTTTCCACATGATTGAAAAGTAGATGGGGAGAGTTCCCCTAGGGCCGGACGCTTAAGGTTTCTCTTAAATAAATCCCTCTACCTGTGCACACGCGACTGAAACGCGTAGAAAACTCATTTTTATTCCTGTTCGCGGAATAACGGCTCCGCAGCGTTTCAATTATCGCAGATATAGCTAATGTCCGATATTAGGTGCCGGCGTTAAGGGAACCCCCCCGCTACATGGATATTATCTCGCGAATTTTCTCCTCCGAGCAGATTTCATTTTGAAAATTAGAATAGTCAAAGAATATTTCCACACGACCGAAAAGTTAGGTATATGGATATTATCTCGCGAATTTTCTCCTCCGAGCAGATTTCATTTTGAAAATTCGAATAGTTGAGAAATTATTTCACACGATTGGAAAGTAATTACACGGATGTTATCTGACGAATTTCTCCTCCAAGTAGATTTCACTTTGAAAATTAGAAAAAAAATTGAAAAAATAGTTGTTGCACATATTCCAACAGCGGTTACGTTAATTTTTTCAACGGAGACAAAATGGAGCCTTAATGGAGCCCAAAATGGAAACTTAAATCGGCCCGATTTTTCGTTAGCCACTCTCCGGTTGCTTGTTTTTCCTTTTTTCACGTACATAATAGAAGTCGGAATCCGGGGAACAGCGGTCGATTCGAAAGGGAAAAAATGACGGCGTTGAAACGGAAGAGAGTGGTTGGAACGGTGCGCGAAGTTATGTTTGCTTTTGCCGCGCCGCTTTTTAAACAGTCCCGTGGTCGGCGCGGACTTGGCTAAATTTGATTGTCTTGGCCGTGGCTGCGCAAAATTTTCCCACCTTCCGTCCGGAATCGTAGAACAAACAGAGGGTTGCGCGAATAAATCACGGCAACGTGACCGCGGAAATTTGTAAAAATGATAAAACGATGAATTCGATGTTGATTGTTCGACGTGGAAACTAAATAAAAGCGAAGTGAACAAGCGAAGCTACGATAAATCGTGTGAATCGATTGAAACTTAATTTGAGGTGCATCGATCGACGAAAGAAGTTAGAAACAGAAGGAACAGACCGAAGTTAGAAGAGAATCTTCATTTTCAATTGTTCCGTGTAACGCGTCCTATTCGACGAGATACGTAACACCGAGCGGACAATTGTTCCAGCTATAAAATTCCTCCGTAAACAATTTCCCCATCCGAAGAACACTTCTTCACTGTCTGATACATCATTTTCAACGCGGAACTCGACTTCCCAGATGAAATACCTCTTCATCTTCCCGGCGGAATAATAAAAAACTACAGAGCACGCGATGAAAATGAAAAGGAAGAGATGCGAGATCAATTGAAGGCTTTAGTGCGAGAATAGGTTATCTTCAGAAGTGAAGATTTTTCAGGGAATGAGAGAACAGCCCCAAAAATGAAAAATCCAATTTTTTTATAGGAATTACATTACAATGCATGAAGATTCTTCAGAAGAAACTCACTTTTTTTCTCAACTCTAAAAGTAACAGATTTTTCTCGAAATCAGAAATTCCATTTTTTTGTTATTTCTTTAAAGTAATTATACTGTAACAAGTAAAGATTATTCAGGGTATGAAGTAACCTTGCTCAAATTTTTTGCATCTCTAATTTCTCGATGCTAAATGAAAATTCCTCAGAAAATGGTAGAATTCTCCCAAAAATCAGAAATTCACTCCCTCGAGGAAACCCAATTTCCTCAAATAACTATACCAATCGTAGAACTTCACTCTTCCTCCAAAAGATCGAATTTCTCCTCACGATACTACATTCTAACCTAAAAAATATCCGAAAAAACGAAGCCGACCACTTTTCCCACATTTCCCAAGAAACTCTTCACTCGAAACCCCACAAATTTTCGTAAACGAGAAACGAACAGTCACGGAAAAGATCCATCGTTAAGCTCGATTCTCATCGATCTCCATCGATCCACAACCGCGAAGAAACGAAATTTCATTCTTCCTCTCTTCTTCTCCTGAAATTTCCATCGAGCTACAAGAGAGAGAGAGAGAGAGAGAGCAGGTGAGGCGAAGGGAGGGAAACGTTTCGAATAAATTTCTTGGCAGTCACCGAGCGGCACGGAGGAGTTTCAGAACTGACATTAAGCAACCGGGGTGGGTAGGGTATTGATCGACGCGGGGCGCGCGTGTGCGCCCTGCACCGCCATGTTTAAAATGTGTTCCAGCTGCAAGTGTAATCTGGCCACCGTTGCATTTCACCGGCTGGCAAGAACACCGCGAAGATACACCCGCCGTTTCCTACCTAACTCGTCCTGTACTCGACCTTCCTGTCCATTTATCCGCCACCATTTATATCCACCTTGTACACCACGGGAAACCGCCGATCGTTTCTTCTTCTTCTTCTTCGCGCCCTGCCGAACGAAAACTTCACGCCCGCCCGCGCGATCCATTTTTCAACGGCCGCTTCCGGTGGAAATAATTCGACCGACTTCCCTCGCTCACAGGTCATCGACGAAATTGCTTTGGAACGGGGGGTTTCCTTCGGCAGTTGGAGAAACGATTTTCTTTTCTTTTTGCCGATGTGCCATCTTGGGTAATTGATGGAAGTACTAAGATTAATTTTTTGAGAGATTGTAGGGTGTTAGTGTTGAAGTTAAAATTGTGAAAATTAGGTATTTTGAGTTTAAGAGGAATTAGCGAGTACACGTTTGTCGGATTTAGTATTTTTATAGTGAATCTGTGAAGAATATTTTGGGGCACCGTACTCCCCTTATTTGCGATTAGTAGAGCGTATTATTAGAGGAATAATTCTTGTTCCGAAGAAACTAAAAGAATTGCAATTTCTTTTGCTTTTCATTTGAGATATCGATCAGAATTTGGCCCTGATACTTGAAATTTTTCGAACCACTATTTCCTCTGAATCGTTTTGAGGAGGAATACCGAGTGTATTCGAAGAAACTAAAAGAATTACAATTTTTCTATTTTTTATTTTAAACATGGACCAGAATTTGGCTCTATTAGAATTTATGGTAATAAATTAAAAGATATTAGTCGAATTATAAATACTTCTTTATTTTGATACGCGAGGAAGGCACGTCGCTACGCAATTGATAAAACAAACACCGACAAGACGCTGAGAAAAAAAAACATAGCGTCACGCGTACTAAACAGATGGTTACTATGTCATTTTTCTATATATGTATGTTGATCATTTTTGCTGGTACTGTTACACAAACACACACTCGTTTCTCCTAATAATCCAACACTAACATTTACAGTTTCTAATTAATATTCTCTCTGAACCATTTTAAGGAGGAATATCGAGTGTATTCTGTCAGAAAGTACTCTAACTCAGCGTAGAGTGGGCGTAAAATTAAACGTTTCTACGTTCTCGCAACAGTGTATTTTACACGAAGACTA